GTACAGTATAAGAGTTATACATACAATAATTATATATATATATATATATATACTTTTTGTAGGATACATAAAAATAAATATGGGAAATCACATACTCCATAGGCACATGTATTTATTTTTATATAAAAAATCCTCTTTGTTGAGTATATTAATTCGAGATAAAAGTGATATTATCAAAGAGAGTTTTGTGCTGTGTGTGATGTTGTGTTGGGAACTAATGTAATGCAATAGATGGAAGGGAGAAGACAGAGTGGAAGAAAGCAAATCGGAAAGGCGTATTGTCTCGTTCATGGCTACCATCTCCGCCGCCATGGCGTGGATGCTGACGAAGGAATTTTACGTGCATGAGGACCACCTGCTACACGTTGTGGCGTCCATCACCTACTCTTCTCTTCCTCCATCTTCTTATTTTGTGTCGTGGAGAACACAAAGGCCTACTGCATCCTCTCTCTATCTCTCTCTCTCTCTCTCTCTCTCGCTCGCTCACCAAGCTTCTTCCCAGCTCGCTTTACCAGTTCTCGAAAAAGAATGAAAGAGTTGATGGAGATCAGCTGTGATCTCGACCTTCGACTCCGTCTCAGCAGCAGCGGGACCGATTCCGGCACCGTCGGATCCAACGGGTATTCTAGTCTCGATGTGGTCAAGGAAACCTCATGGATTACTTACCTTTCTTGTGGTATGCTTTATGCAGGTTAGTGGAGTTCCTGGGCAAGTCGAAGGAGTCCCAGCAGCAACAGATCACCCTATTCTACAATGGTCGAATCTGTGTCTGCAATCTCACGGATACCAAGGTCTGTAATGACCTCATCTCTTTTCTCCTCTGTAAGTTTCCGCTTCAAGCATTACTCGGTTGTTGTGAACGAATGATGATCTTGTGTTTCGTGTTCATAGGCAAGAGCCATCATCTCCATGGCCAAGAGACAGATGGATGAACAACAAGCGAAGGGCTCATCATTCCTGCCTCGAGATCCGCCACCATCTCCTCATCCTCATCCTCCGGAGCAGCTCCTGATCAATCCTGGGCTCGCCATGAAGCGATCACTGCAGCTGTTCCTTCAGAAAAGGAAGTCCAGAGTGCATTCCCTCTCTCCCTACGCCCCTTGTCCTCTGTGACGTCAACCTAGCAAGAACAGTATTGATGACGTGGTGTTTCTTACGGTGATAGCAGTAGCATGGATTGTTTTCTTTCCTTTCTGAGATTTCCCCTCATTTCTTCAGCAAGTCAAACTTCCGGATTGTAAAGTCAGCGTACAGATAAATAAATTGTGATATGATCTCCGACATTTGCTATTAATCCGAGCTTAAATATCTTAGATCACAGGTTTTTAGACTAATCAAATCAAAGATTTTAGACCAAGAAGCTCAACAATGTCTGCCGCAGCAATAAGAACATGGTGCACATGGAGTTATACCTCACATCTTCCATTTGATTGTCTCTGATTGCTCTCCATCAATGGATCAAAAGCCTTTTTTGTGTTCATCAACAAATGATAAAGGCTTCTTTTTCAAAGTTTAATGGATAAAAAGATCTCCTTCAAGCTTTTAACAATAGTAAGAATATACATCAAAGACATTAAGAGGTACTATGCCACTGCAATCTAAAGCTGCTATGTAAGCTCTGTTCTTGCCGAAGGAGATTGGCAATCACCTCAGCAGCAGCAGCAGCTGTACAACCTTGAAACCATGTGATTGGTGGTGTCTGCCTCAGTCACCATGCGACTGCGGCTAATTCCTCTGAAGTGCACCCACTCAGTGCCATTGTCAGCTCAAACTCATCCCTTAGCATCTGCAGCGCATTCCTCACACCAGCTTCACCTTCAGCTGCCAAGGCAAACACCACAGGCCTCCCAGTCTGCAGTAAATCACAACAAACGACATTGACTCGATTTGATTTGATTGAATTCGCAGTAAATCTCTAGTTCAGGATTGTAGGATCATTGTTAGTTCGTGTTACAATCGCATGCAAGCTATGATACGTACTTGGAAGAGACTGAAACATCATTTTTACTTGCAAATACTCCAGAGGCACCCAATGCTAAAGCCTCGAACACATCGGTGCCACCGCAAACGCCGCCTTCGAGAAGACGGGAACACGACCCTGTGCAGCCTTGACAACCTAAATCTGCCACCATATGATATCAAGTCGTAATTGACTTGTGAAAAAGGAGGATATTTGATCCATAAAGAAGTAGAATGGCCAAAGAGAAAAGCTTGATTTCATGTTGCAGATGTACCTCTTCCAGTGCACCGATGGTGGCTGGAACATAGTCGAGCTGACCAGCTCCATGGTTGGAGACAATGGCACCGGCTGCACCAGCTTGTATGGCAAGTCTGGCTGCAATTTGAAGTCAAGGTTGGTGTTGGACTGTGTTCAGCACAAGTAAATGGAAGGTTAGAAGTGAAACAGTGGTTGCTGTCTTCTGCAGTGAGGACTCCTTTCACAAAAATGGGCATGGTAGTGATTGTCTGCAACCACTTCACATCCTGTTGGCATCAAATCAGTTTGTAATCTGATAGAATTTGAATTCATTATATGCTGAACTCGTTTGATGATTCAGAACATTCTTCATGATTTCCATTGTGCTCCAAATCAAGACAGCAAACCTTCTCTGTTTTGCATCCTAATACGCATTTGCAAGAGACACTAACTACAAAGATGAATCAGTTGTCTTATGCAGTCAGATGTTAAGTATGAAAGTTATTATTCACCTTGTCCATTTTCCCAAGGTCCAAAGTGAACCTGCAAGACATTTTAAAGTAGAACAGCAAAAACACTATGAACTATGAATCAATGATATGCTCAAGCGTCAGTCAAGTGAAATTGAATGAGCATTGCTTAATAAGCAACTCAGGATCAAGGTGTTCATGTACCTGTACTTGATGTCTGCTTTCGCCAACCAAGTCTTGAAGTATCAACTGTAAGGGCTATTGCCTTGAATCCTGCTCTTCAGCTCTTCTGACGAGCTGAGCAACTACATTCCGGTCTTTATATACGTAAAAAGATAACATTGAAGGCTTCCTGACATCAATTTTTTAGCTCAAACATTAAAGGAACATAATCAATATCAGAAGATAATGCTTACATAGAGCTGGAAGAATCGAGTTCCTGGTCCTGTTGAGGCAACTTCTTCGATGCTGGAAGTAGCCCATGATGACAGTGTCCAGCGAAGAAATATTTGATATGTTTAGTCTCTTTGATCACCATGATTTGTTAGCTACTGAAGTCAGTCTAATTACTTAAGCAGCAATATCTGTTAACAATAGCAATCTTGAGATTCTGTGAGGTTGACATCTACTTCCTATCAGTCTTAGAATCAAATTAGTAGACCATAAGAAATCCAATACAATAATCACCAACCATATTGGTATCGGCTGCTGATGCTGCTCTCGCGGTTGCATACTCTCCTGAGGAACAATGAGAGACTCAACATTAGAAGATTCAGTTGTAAGTTGCAGCAACAAAAAGGACTATATGGTAGATAGCTTGACACTTTTGCCTAAATTTAAGCATATGCATCCAAAGCAGAAGAAAGAGTCATACTAAATTCCAACATCGGGTCGTATGGATCTTAGAAGTTGAACAGATATCCAAAGAATTGGAGCAAAAGCAACCAAATCTTTGTATATTCCTGAAACTTTGCAGAAGTAAGACAACCAAATTCCAGAAACATCATAACTTCAGGGTGAGCCATCTTCTGCATGGCTGTTGGAGCAATCATGATTGGCATTGATATCTTTGTGGTGGTCTTATTGACCTTGGATACATCGATGAGTATGCACGGTCGAAACCTAGTCCAGAATCAATGAAAAAATTTCAGTGACATGAACATAAGAGCACTCTGGTCATTCAAAGAAGATGAAGAACATGACATTTCTAATAAGGTACAGAATGCAGAGTTATCAAGTTGCAGCATCCCGTCATGCTGCATAAAGATGAACATGCTTGTTTGACTGTAAGACAAGTGACAGTTTCCAATATTTCAATATTATTAGCAAGATTACTAAAACCAAAAACAGAATCCCTCAAAAAGACTTGGAAAAAGAAAAAGAAATTGAAGACAAACAGGAAATTCTAGAATCTTTCAGATATTCTATCTGCATAATTTGAAGGAAAAGTAAATGTCAGAGGATCACTTTGTAAAACATTAGCATGACAAGTCTATCGATCTTATCGACATGTTAAAAAATTATCATCTCACAATATCATAGGAACCAATTAGGAACTTTAGTGCTTAAAAAGATGATCGATATTTGACATGGTATTGATTATAAAGGTTTACATAATTCCTATCAGTAAAATGTCAAGAACCATGGAAGTGGCAGCACACTAGGGGAAGAATAGAATGAGGGAGAGTGCTCACAGAATCCTCGAAAACACCTCCCTGTTCTCCTTCAAAGCCCACTGGTCCTCTGCACCTGAGTTATAGTAGTCAAACACCATCTTGGGCAACTTCTGCTTGGCAATTGCCTCATACTCCATAACGTTAGTGATCTCTATGTCTCTGTTGAGACATTCGAGATAGTTAGTACATCGTTGCATGATTAATAGGTCTCAGGTTTAAATCCATGTGTGAACGTTTTGCACGTTTACAATAAAAATTTCTTCTAATTTAAAGAGAGGAAAACGTTGGTGAACTCCAATCTTTGCCCAAACACAGTAAATCCACAAACTTCACAACAAGAGCAGAAAACAAAGCAAGCCTACACCTCAACTGCTATCAAGAAAGGCACAATAGATCGAACACTTTGTGTGTAGTGTTGCATCAAACTCAAGAGTGTAGTGAAGTGTTCGAGACTGAAGATGATCACATACAGAAGGATGCATCAAACTAAAGCATAACTGGAATGATCAGTCAGCTAATACGATCTAACACAAGAGCAAATACCCCAATTAATGACCTTACGTGAAGCTCAAACACAACCAATCATGAAAAAGAAGAACCAACCTGATTCCCTGAAAGCAGGAGAGTAAAGGGAGTGAAACCAGAAGGCAAGGGTGGTGGTGAGGAGTAAACCAATGACTGGGCTGCAGATTTGAGATGGTCATGCTCTCTGCATGAAGACAAACTCCAGGAAAAATATTTATGTTGGATTAGCTTGTGGAGGTGGAAGTGAAGACTGACATCTCCCACACTGCTTCCTCATCCACCAAGCAAAAAATTCTGCTTCATTTATCCAATGCCATTAGAAAGCTCCATAGAATGGATGAACAGAGTAACTATAGTAGAAGTCTTATGAGCTAAATTTTCATTGCAACAACTGTGGGTTTGATCAAAGTCAGGTCTTACTAGACTTGAGCTCTTTCTGTTCAATTTAATGGCCTTGTGGTGCCTAGTGTTTGTGCATATGCAAATAATATGAAGATGCCAAAGGTTACTTTGTTCATAGATTTGGATTCTACATTTAGCAATTCCTTAAAAAAGTGAAAAGGTGTACTATTTTCTTATGTGATGGGATTTTTGGTGCAGGAAAACACATTGGGCACTGCATGTGTACTATCTATTCTCCATACGATCAAGCATGCTCCACATAAGGGATCCCCCCAAGACTGGTAACAGAATTAGGGAATGAGGAAGAGAGCATGTGAAGAAATAGTAAAAGCTTGGAGGCTTTTGAATCATGGTCAAAACAAGATGTCCTTTGAGCAGCAATGGCAACTGAAATCTTCCCTCTCCCTTGTAATGAATACAAGAAAAAGAAGGCAGAGTACATTTACAGCACAACAGAGCTTCTTGCAGAGTGCATCATAAGCATCACAGACCCATCAAACACCTGACCGTCACCAGCACCAAGCTCATGCTTCCCTTCCCATGGCTCCAAGATGGCCTCACCCTCACAGCACTGGACTCCGGTGGAGGAGACTCGGGCCATGATGACCTCTCGCCAGCGTTGATAGGAGGGCACAGGCAAGGTGGAGCTTCCAAGTAGGAGAGGTTCCGATGTCTGAGTGGGTTTATGCACAGTCCCTGGTTGTCCCTGACATCCAGTCTCTCCCCAAGTCTGCTCACGAACGCCTCAGAGAAAGCCATCTCCCCACTCAGCTGGTTTTGGCTCAGGTTGAGCTGACCAAGGTTTGGGATTGCCTCTAAACTGGCAGGGATTGTCCCATTGAGTCTGTTCCTGTCCAAGGATATGGTGGTGAGGTTGGTGAGAGAGCCAAAGAACGTGGGTATTGGACCTGAGAGCCCGCAGCCTGAGAGTCCAAGCACCACCATGTTCTTAAGGGCACCAAGAAAGAGAGGGATGCTTGTTCCTATAGGATTGTGCTCTAAAAGAAAGTACTGCAGTTCTCTCAGATCCGAGAGTGCATCTGGCATTGGCCCTGTCAGGGAGTTGTGGCTCAGATCCAGCAAGATCAGACTCTGTAGCTTGCTTGCATCTGTTGGAATCCTACCAGAGATTTTGTTGAAGCTAAGGTCCATCTTTCGGAGGGACTGGAGCTGACCTACCGACCAAGGGATCTCCCCTTCCAGCCCGTTCCAGCTGAGGTCTAAGATGGACAAACTAGCCAACCCACCAATGCCCACAGGGATGATGCCAGTGAGATGGTTGTAGCTGAGGTCCAACTGCTCCAGCTTCCCAAGTTCTCCCACCTCCTTTGGGATTTCTCCATGTAGGTTGTTCTGTGAGAGGCTGAGAACTCTCAGGTTTTGCAGTCTGCCTATGGTCTGTGGGATGGCTCCGGAGAGGCCCGGGTTGGACTTGATGACCAGCTGCTCTAAGGAGGAGGAGGCATTGGCGAAGAGAGATGGAGAGAGGGAGACCGTGTCCGGGACGAGGAAGCAGCCGAAGAGTGAGAGGGACTTGAGGTAAGGGAGCTTGAGCATGGACTCGGAGAGCTTTGCAGAGGCCTTACATGGCGGTGAAGCGACGTCGGGGCCGATGTGAATCTTTGTGACATGAAGATAAGGATCCTGCTGCCGTCCCTGAACTCCATCACCGAGCACCATCTCGCATTGGATCCCCAGCCACGGCGTCTCGGTGCAAGGGCGTGGGTGGAGCTGCGCCCAGCTTGGGTCGTTCAGGAGAGCACCCAACACCTCGAAGAGACCCAGAAGCTCCTCACTTCGCATCCCGACTCCGCCGCCATCGTCCGTGGCTTGAGCCAGCACAAAGAGGCAGCAGCAACCTGCAACGGCAAGGAGCCTCGCGAGGCGTTCGACAGTGGTGGAGGCCATGGTAGCATGGAGGAACAGAGCAAGGAGAGATCAAGCGGAGCTCCTGTTATATGGATCTGGAGAAAGCCTGGAAAGCTGACTGCATGTCACTGTTCCGCTAATGTGTCGGTCTTCTCTTCTTCTGAGGAGGGTTTGACGTGAAACGTCTCGACCGAAGCAGCCATCACCACCACGACCCGATGCTTCTGCTTTCCATGCACGCTAAGGAACATCTCCTCTGCTCCCCCTCGGCCTCACTCTTACCTCTCTCCAGCTAGAGCTAAATGCCTCGTCCATGCAAACACATACCGCATTGGTGATTCCACTCCCACAAAAAGCAACTCTTGAATTGAAAGTTGAAGCAGGGATTCTTCTCTCTCCTCTCGCTCTCTCTGTCTCGAGTCTTGTCAGCCTGGTGGCGTTCAAGGGACACCAAAATATAGCACACAGATCCTGTCCACAACAGGTGCAGTTGATATCATCCTACTACAACATTTATACATTAGCTTCGTATTACCTAATACACTAGGAAAGTGAATCATGATGCGACTATAGAATGATCAAAGTGATGGGAGGTCATGAACTGGAATGTCTTGAACGGCTGCAAGAGTTGTCTCAGCACCAGAGCAGGATCTGACAAGGAGTAAATGACAGCCATGTGAGATGGTTGCATTCAATATGGAGTACTCAGGTTAAGGAAAACTTGGAGGGAGGAAAGTGATGGTTGTAGACAGTCAAACTGCAGGTACTCAAAATATGGTGCATGGATGGAGATCATGAAAGGGATATGTGCATTTCACACTTCAAGAAGGTGAGTCCATGAATCAGGAAGCATATAAGTAGGAGGATAGGTTATGATGCCTACCTACCATATGAACCTGACAGATTCTGAAGGAGCATCAACAGGGTTTTGATTGGAGGTTTGTCCTGTTGATACTTTTCTTAACATAAAAAAAAGTATGAAGCTTATTGTTTAATGTATCAATAATTGTTATAAAAAATAAATATTTAGCTGTCAATATTTAGAAAAATAAATGGACAAACATTCAGTGTTTTTCTATATTGAGTACCAGTTTTAACTGCATGTACTCAATATTTACAAAAAAGAACAACTAAATATATCTTTATTTATTCAAAGTATAAGAGAGGGAAAAATTTATTGAAAGCCAAACATTTATATATATATATATATATATATATATATATATATATATATATATATATATATATATATATCCCTTCCCAGAAAAGCCCATTTAGTGTTATTTGGGCTGCAAATAAGAAAAGCCGATGACCGACCCTTTGATTGCCTGACACAGTGTGGCGTTTGTTCTCGTGGCAGGATGAGGAGGTCGGGTTGACCGGCTCGCATAGGCATCTCCTCATAGCCATTGGCCGATGGATTCCTGGTGCCATCCCATGGTGGCCGCAGGACGAGCGCAGCGGCACCGTCATCCGTGGCGTCTTCCTCCCGTCCTCTAGCTCGTGTGCACCGGAGGATTATGGGTTTCGCCTTCGGCGAGGGGTCTAGGGTTTTGAATTCCTCTTCCTCCAATTTGAGACCCCTCACAATGTCTTCCGCTTGTCGCTCCCTTACCCTTCCCCCGCTGACTCCCCTTCCCTCGCCATCTAGAGCTCGGTCTTCCTCAAGAACCGTCTTTTCTCCCCCTTCGACATCTCTTGGCTTCCGCGGCGTTCGATCGTTATCATCTCGCAGAGCTCCCAAGAAGGTTGGTTTAATGCTTGAATCCTTTCAGTTAAACTAAAATAGTTGATTTTTTGAGAGTTTTCCCATGTAAAATTGATATCTTTATCATAAAAAGTTTGGTTCCGTTCTGTCCCGTTTGTGTAGAGATGGAGGCTCGGTGATGTATCGTGTTTTATGCACGAAGAGGAGGAGGGAACGTCGTCCAGCGAGAGGGGATTCGGGTTTATGGAAATTAAGGGAGGCCAAGAATCCGGCGAGATTAAGTTGGACGAGACAAGCAAGGAAAACAGGGGCTGGATTTCAAGAATTCAAAAGGTTTCCTTCTCTCTCATTTATAGGTTGAATTTGACATGGTATTATTTGATTCTCCTATATTAGTTGTCATGTGCGTTGTGAAACAACACCCGTAAAACAAGCTGCTTAACATATCTCAGACGAATGCATGCAATATAATTTGTTGGTATATGAAGAAGCATTGAAGGCACATTCTCATTATTCCATGGAGATCAATTGGCATTGAGAACTTTGCAAAACATACAAATACTTAGAAAGTTGGGAATGGAGCATTAGATGAGACTGAGGATGTATCTTACAGTGATCTGCGAGATAAATTAATTAAAGGGTATGTAAAGGATTAGTAGGAGGGAAACTAATGATACCATGATCAAACATATATGGGAACCTATGGGGATACGGACATATATTGAAAATATTTATGTGTGTAAACCTATCCAGAAATTATTGTAAACAATGTAGATCATTTGGATGAAGAATATATGCTAGAAGTTAATCTTATTACTTCCTTTTTTAAAATTGATGCTATGTAATAAATTGATCTTATTATTTCATGGCTTGCAACATAAGCTTTTTCTTCTTTTTTTTTATATTTTGTTATAGATTTAGATTCAGTTCCATTTGGTATATAAGTTGTTCTGCTTTGTCACCGAATAAGCTTTTTCTTTTTTGTATATAAATGGGCATGAGAAGCTTAGGATTGAAGGAAAAAACAAGGCTTTGACTTAGATTTTTCTTTAATGCATTCAATCATCTCTATCTAACAGTCTATGTTCTTTCAGGTATCACACAGGATTTTTATTTTTAATGGTAATTCTTGGACGGTACCATGGACGGTGGAGACGATTGTCCAGGTTAGTGCATTTTATATTAGTCTTTTGACCAACCTTTTTTAGTTAAAGTAAAATATTCTAAGATGATGGTATACCTTCCTTTGCTTGCAACATGTTACTTTTTTTGTTTTACTTTGTGATGAATTATGCTTTCTTTTATGATTTACTGTCCTTTGGTATAGAGAAATTTTGAAGTTTTCTCCATATACACGAGCTTAAATTGAGTTAAATAAGGTAGCTCTTTTTTCAATGCTCTTCCCCCTAGAACTAGCTGTTTTTGTTTTTAAATTTTTCTCGTCGTTGATGGTTGTGTCACGTAAAAAGTGGTTTAATGGATTGACTCTGACAGTCAGTCATAAAATTTAAGAAAAACTTATGATAAGTCCTCCTACATTCGAGTTGTGCTCTGATCACACTGATCCCATATATTTGATATATGTTGGCAATAGGCCTTGAAGTTCTGCAATTTTTTAGGAGGTCTTATTGTTTTTGAGTTGTTCTCTATGTAATACTGACTTGTTGCGTTCTCATCTACCTTAATTTGTTCATATTCTGTGGATATATAAATATGTATATATATCATTTTTTTTATTTTTAAGTTTTCAAAGAGTAATTTATCATACTGAATATTATTTCAGTTGGCCATAGTCTTTTTCTTTTCTAAGTAAGCAGAAGAAATTGAAGCATACCTTTCTGAGAACCAAATATATTCTTGAACATATGACCTTTCTGTGTAGCTAAGCTGCCAAGCCTCTTGTGAGATTCAAGACCAAAACAACTGCTTGCATCTCAATGTGTCTTGATAGAAGTACCACATACAATTTCCTTGTTTTTTACTAGCCTAGCTATTGCCAGTACTACTAATGCTTCTCATATTTTCAGCTTCATGCATCCAGGTGTTCTGGGAAAAAAATTTTACTGACATCCATGTCATTTCTGTGAATGGCTTTTGGGTTTCCCACATAGGAACTCTGCTTGAGATTCAAAATTTTAAGTGAAATATGTTATACTTTAGCATCAGGACCTATATTATTTTATATTTAGTTGAAACCATCCTTTCAGATTTTCTTGGTTTTGAGGGTATTTAAATTGAAGACAGGGCAAAACTTAAGAAGTCAAATTATTTCAACCAGAATAGACACACTGTTCATATGATTTTTTAACATTCATCTTCCAAAGTGTGTGTAAGTGTTTCTTAACGGAAGCTAATACCAGCAAACATTGAAAAATTGACACATTGCACAGTGGCAAACAAACATTAAGAAACACAGGATTTATGTGGAAAACCGATTTTTGCAAAAAAGAATACCAATCATTTATTATTACTGAGTTCACAGTGGTCTAAGTGGACTTGCAGATCCTCGACTCTGATATACCTAAGTCATGCATGCCACCTTTTGATCCTAATCAAGATTTCAAGTGATCTCGAGTTGCCTCATGTGCTGTCTATCAATCTACTCTTGTCGAATCACTCATCAAATGATTTTTTTTTCACCTATTGGAATCACTTACAAGAACTTTCAAGAAGATGGTTGTGTTGTTTTCTCTTTGTTATTCAGACATAGTTAGCTTCACTAAAATTCTGAGCATCATTAAAATAACCCTTGTTCATCGAGGTACTAGTTCTTATGAAAATATAAAGTTGTCTTTCCAATTGGGTCAGTCAATTGATCAGATAAAGAAGCTGATTTATCAAGCTTTATTTGTGTGACCATAGACCAATGATGCAAATTCAATGGATTTATATGATTGATTTACTTTTTCAGTCTTCTGATTTGATAAGTCTAAAGTAGGTCCAACTGATCAGGCTAGGTCCCAATTGATTGACCATCTATGTATTCTTATTTTGACACACTTGTTGGCATGAATTTGACTAATCTACGTAAATGGACATGGGAAGTAACACATAAGATTGTTCCTTGATTTTCTTCCCTGCTTGTTTCCACTTCTTTGGTGCTTCAGGATGGGGCAGGTATCAACATTGTCAACACCCATGAAGAAATAACAAATGGCTTGTTCTGTTTGTATCATGCTTTATTTTAATCAATTTTCTGCTTAAACTGTGGCTTTATATTTTTGAATCGAAGTCAATATTACAGTTCTTGTTTCATGAGTAAAATTGGTAAAAGCAATAAATTTGCAGGTTATGCTTCTTTGGATTGCTTCATTCTGGTTTGTGGGATCCTGGATAATTCCATTCTTGGCTCATGCTGCTGGTTTCAGCAAGGAGTCATTGACACACCGAGGTCAGGCCTTATATAGCCTTCTTACTGATGTAGCCGAAGGTTTAGCTGGAATTGCGATCCTCCACCGATGTCTTGCTAGATTCCGTCCCCTTCCATCAGGCTGGTTTCAGTTCAGTTTGAAAGGTTGCTGGCACTTTGATGTCGCTCTGGGGTGCCTACTCTTTCCATTGGTCAATTTTCTATCCCAGATCAACATCAACTTGGTTCCAGTTCTCCCTGCCCCTCCAGTAGGAGTCTCCAGTGTTGAGCAATCAATTTTGGCTCGTGATCCTGTGGCCATGGCTCTTTATGCTGTTGTGGTCTCGGTCTGTGCACCTGTCTGGGAGGAAATTGTATTCCGTGGCTTTCTTCTCCCTTCACTCACCAGGTACATGCCACTGTGGGGGTCAATTTTGGTAAGTGCAGTTGCTTTTGCACTTGCACATTTTAATGCACAGAGACTACTTCCATTGGTATTCCTTGGGGTAGTGATGGGAGCTGTATTTGCAAGATCAAGGAACTTGCTGGCTTCAATGCTATTACATAGCCTATGGAATGGCTTTGTCTTCTTGGACCTTATGAAATGATTAAACCATTTTGTACCATTAATGACATCTGATATCTTTTCAATTCAATCCATGATGTTTAATTTGATGGCACGAGTAAGCATCTTATCCTCTTAAGAACTATACACTTAGCTGATCTTATTCTTATAAAATATTTTGTAGCATGTTAATCCCTTGTGCATTTACTTTTATCCTCTTAAGACACATTGTGTGTTTATTCTCATATTGGGTTGGGTATTATAGATACATTGTGTGTTTATTCTCATATTAGGTTGGGTATTGTACATAAGAGCTTTTGGTGATGCTAAGTCATCTCCTTTTATAACGTTACACAATCGTGACACCTTGTGATTTATATCATTTATACTTTTATAGTCTCCTTTTCTCCCTTTCTAGGAATCACTTATTGTACTTTTAGATTAAGAGAATGACAATTTGATATCTTTTTCTTAGAAAATGTATGTGAATAATATTTAGCCAGTAAGTTATGGCAAATTTCATGTATTTAGACTTCACTCTACATACCATTGACTTCGCAACAGTTTGTAGATGAAAATATCTGTTAGATGAGTGCTAATTAGAAGACCATTTTTAAATATGAAGTTTGATCTATTGTGCAGTACTTAAGTCATGGTAACTTCTTATGTTGTCTCAATCATATGAGAAATATTTTATATGCTTCCAGGTATAGTAGCAAATTGGTAACTAGGTATCAGGTAGAGACTTATTTTATTACGTTGTCTAATTTCTCAACATGATATGGGGATCCTTTTTAAGTAAAACTGAAGCATGATGTGGGAGATAAAAATTTTGCATTGAGGAAGAACTCTTGGAAGGATTTGATTACATTTGCCAGTGATAGCATTCTTTGGCTGCATTCCTCATCTCGTATGATTCTTGATGTGTTCTCCCAGTACAGGCATACGGTCTCAGAGTTTTTCTTCTTGATGGAGAACATGTAAGGAAGTCTTCTCACTCGGTCCTTTTATTTTCTAAGCAAAACTTGCATTTTGAAGGTTGATTCTCCAGATTCTTATCAATAAACACTAGCTTAAAAAGTATGATTCCTTTACCATTTCCTCTTAAACATTATAATGATCAAGGTGAGGCTGCATGGATCATGATGCTGAGATATGATTGCTGTGATAGAAACTTTGACGGCATTGATCTTGTTGCATGAGACATATCTCCATATGCAGAATAAGGCTGCATACATTTTTAATCCAATCATTCCATGATCCTTGGCTGCCTTTCAAGCATTTTAACTGATTTTTCTTCCTTTTAAACTGATGTTGGGCATGATAAAAGAACAGGTGCTCCCCAATCAATGGAATTTGTTGATCCATCCTTGTCATCAGTACTCATCCAAGGTCCTTGTCCCTTGTCAGCAAGAACACTTTGTTAGTGCTGTCTTGGCTGAAGAGTTCTGTACAATGAATGATTAGTCAGGAAACATTGAACATATGCCACATGCATGGGACATGGCAATCATTAGAACCAAAGATATTTGGCTGCATATGATCATAAATCTTAAACTCTCTTAGTTGACTTAATTTTTCATCCAGTGTACATTAGAAACTTTTTTCTTTCTTTTTGTGTAAATGAAAACATGTCTGTACCAATCAATCTTTCTTTTTTGCTTCCTTTTTGTGCAAATGAAAACATATCTGTACCAATCAATCTTTCTGTTCCATAACATTGAGCAGATGAATCAATGCAAGAGAAACTACCTATAAGGAGGAATAAAAAACACTTCAGAAAATATTCTGCATTGTAGAGTACAAGAACAGAGCAGGATTATCCAACACCAGATGTAAGTAAATTCTCCCAGGTTTGGCACATACAAACTTTCTCATTTCAGATGGTTAAGAACAATTTTCGTCAGTACTTGCTATTCACTAGTTTGAAGGGCTCAACAATCTTTAGCTTGCTCAATAAAAATGATAAAAGAAAAGATAGGTCAATTGAATTAGAAAATTAGTCCTTGTGAAGTTGGTAGATGTAGTAGTTATTTTTCTGGTCTGCTGAAGTGTGGCCTAATTCTGATCTCAATGGTTGAATTGTTTGTGCTTACTGATAAATCATTTTACAAGCATTATCTCAAAGTTATCAAACAATGTGTGGTAAGTGCTTTCATAATACAGGCCATAATTATCCATTACAATGAATGACAAACTATTATTGCACATGATTTCAAGAACATCCATCTCTTGGTGTCTTGTTGATTGTCTCTAACACAAAAGTCCATGTCATTAGAATCAAATGTGAAATGTAGCTATCTGATCCCTATCCTGACACTTAGCCAACCAAGGAACCAATCTTGGAAACTTTTTGATACAACATTAAGTTGCACACATTGTGGCTGACAAATAGACCCTACATGTTGATATTTGATGTGATGCATGTTCCACATAGAGACACTAGTGCTTTATAAGGTAGCTTTCCAAGTTTTGATAATTGAGAACTAGAAGAAAAAAAAAGGAAAAATTTCTAATTTTATTCCTGTGAAATTTTTGATTGAACACAACTGGATGGTGACTTCAAACTTATCCTTGCCCTAATCTTTTGTCTATACAACCAATTTTTTTGTTCTTGGCAAAGAGTTTTAGTAAGTAGCTTTCCAATTGTTTTTAATGATAAATCATATTATATACTCTTATTTCTAACAATACGTTGATAAGCTTGATTAGGTGATTCCAAAAGATTAAATGGCTAGGAAAAGCTTCAATTTCTGTCTTAAATACTATCTCTGTCATGTGGAAATCATATCAAATTAGGGTTTGTAATCTCATCATCAATATAAATATATATATATTTCAGATGAGATTAATTACTGAGTGAAAAAAGAAGGCTTTTCTTATGTTTGAATAGATTATCATTCATTTTAATCTATAACTCATCTCCAACATATAATGTGATTGAATAAATGCATTCGTTGGACGACTAAATGTGTTCCATCAAACTTTCTCATTCATAAAATTATATGGATGTTCACATAAATATCAAAATAAATTAGTAAATTAAAATCAAATATAAAGTGATAATAAAATATTTAAGTAGTTAATCAGCGTGTATATACAATAATAATTTTTTAGAAAAATATAAGTGATGAAAATTAGATACAAATCGAGAATTTTAGAATGATTTATCAAAGTATTTATCAACTATATTGATATACTTAAACTCCAATAATAATTTAATTAGAGAGTGAGAAAGGAAAGGAGGTAATTAATTATATTTAAATATTTTTCTCAATGCAAAGGAAAATTTATTTGGAAGTATGTTTTTTTTTTCCTTTTATTTGTTAAATAGAATTATACGTTAAAAAAAATTGTAAGAAACAGCAGACGCCAATTGCAAAACCTTTCCTCCTTCCTCATCACACCCTTTAAAAGTCGTGCTCCCGGAAAACCTACGGTTAGGGTTTGGGTTTCTCTCCGATCCCGTCACCTCTGCTTTTCCACTGTTGCTGGGAGTCAGCTCTGCTTTTCCATCCCACTAGTTGAATTCTCCGATCCGATGTCCTCCGGCGGCCTAGCCGCGGCCGATCTGGACGGATTGCGACGGGGCCGCTGGGATCCGGCGGCGGCGGAGGAGGGGATTGACCACTTCGACCGGCTGCCGGACTCGGTGCTTCTTGTGGTATTCAACCGGGTAGGCGACATCAAGGCCTTGGGGCGGTGCTGTATCGTGTCCCGCCGCTTCCACGCCCTCGTCCGCCTCGTTGACGACATCGTCGTCCGCGTCGACTGCGTCGTCTCCGACGAGCCCTCCCTCTTCCCCGACACCGAGGCGGACTCCGCTGCTGCCGGGCCCGACAAGCCCCGCGGCGTCTTCTTCCACCTCGCCCGCGTCGTCCTAGGCGGCCTCGTCAAGCCCCTCCACGCCCTCGGTCAATTGTTCTCCTCTTCCTCATCCTCCTTGGCGACAGCTGATGCCGTCTCCGCTGCGGCCAGGAAGTCCGCGTCACCGTCCTCTTCATCCTCAACACCATCGTCCGATGTCTCCCACCATTCCCCAGCGGAGGTCTTAAAGAATTTCAAGGAAATCCGGCGCCTCCGCATCGAGCTTCCCGACAGCGAGCTCGGCGTCGACGACGGCGTCCTGTTGAAGTGGAGGGCCGACTTCGGGTCCACCCTCGAAAGCTGTGTCATCCTTGGCGCCTCCTCCGTTGCCTTATCATCTTCAGTTCCCCCCAATTCCTCAAACGTTTGTGGTGGTGATGATTGCCGGAGCATCCCGGAGTCATTCTACAACGACGGAAGCTTGAAGCGCAGAGTAGTGTGGACTATCAGCTCGCTGATTGCTGCTTCAGCGCGGCATTACCTTCTCCATCCTATCGTGGCAGACCATGAGACGTTAGAGAGCTTAGATCTGATAGATGCGGATGGGCAGGGGTTGCTGACCATGGACCGGCGGCAGCTGCAGGAATTAAAGATGAAGCCATGGATGGCTTCGAGGAGCTCGCAACGAACACTTCTGCCAGCACTAAGCATGCGTCTATGGTATGCTGACCAGTTGGAACTGCCCAATGGAATGGTGCTGAGGGGTGCGACGCTGTTGGCTATCAGACCAAGTGAGGAGCAGATGAGTGAGGCTGGTTTCAGTGGATCCATTGGGTCCTCGGACAATTGCTGGGTTTCAGATGCCTTTGAAGAGCCATACAAGTCTGCGACCAGCACACTCATGAAGAGAAGGACTTACTGTCTTGAGATGAATTCCTTCTGAGCCTGGAAAAACTACTCCAAACATGGTCTTCAATAGGTAAAAATCAAATCTTGTTCGAGTAATGTAGCTGCAACACCATCCATATTGAAAGTGGAGGATATATAGAACTACAAGAATTTACTACTCTTAATTTGAGTTTAAACATTTAGGATCTATTATGCATAATGAGGGACTCTATTAGGGAAAAGCTAATCATGTATGAGGTTGGAGGCATTTGTGAAACCACCATCAAACTTTGCCTCATATGCCATACTAGGATAATTATGAGCTTTATGTTAGTTTAGCCTTTGAATTGAAGCATTTCAGATCTCATGATTTAGCCTTATATCAAGTTAATGAGTCAGTTATGCTTCATGACAGTAGCTCTCCAAATTGAAGTTACATGATATTTTATAATGGTAATTAAGAGCTATTCTGAGGTATGCATCGGTTTGGGTTTTAGACACCATTTCGGACCATGTGATTCAATCCTCTATCAAGTTAATGAATCAATTATCTGATACGCTATGAGAAGAGCTCTCAAACTTGAAGTTGCATATATATATATATATATATATATATATATATATATATATGTTTTTTTAAATTAGTAGTAGTGAGGGTTATAATGTGGCCATACAGTTTTAAGGGGAACCTAAACTTGCTTGCAAGTTACAGCCAATACAAAGACATGGTGCTTTTAATGCTCCTCTGTTTTTGCTGCGTATAAGTATACATGCTACAATCACGGAAAGTATGTTTGATAATACATAGGCCAACTCATAATTAATCAGAGGCCATCAATTAGTGTATTTGTTTGCGCCTTTTTCTTCGACAATTTTTCGGACGATTTTGGATCTGTAGGTAAACTATCTATTTGTCAGTTCTTTATGGTATATGGTATTTTATAGATATTGAAGTATCGGTCAAACCCATGAGAGGTCATAGTTACCAGCAGTTGCTTTGTTTCATGCATCACCTATAATCTAGTTGTTCTTTTTCTTTTTCTTTGTTGACATTCAATGGGCATCTGGCTGTGATTTTAATATCTAACATGGTAAATATAAATAGAAGCTAAATGAGAGTTTCAAGTATGATACTATGACTTGCTCTTACATTTTGGTTCTTTAGGTCTAACATGAATTGTTAACATATCTTACTGTGCAATTTTTTAGGTTTCATGAACCTCTCTTTTGAAAGACAACGGGCACATCTAAAGGGTCCCTACTGGTGGGCTTTGCCTACAAGTGGTAGCCTGTAACTCGCCACCATTGACTGCAGTGATTACATGGTGCAAATGTTGTGCTGCAATACCCAGATGTCTCTGTGTCTCCTTTGGGCTTCCTCCACTTTCAAGATCCGTTGAGGCACACTTGTGATCGGCGTGTCCACCATCTTCATCTTTGCTTGTAAATTTTTGAATGGCGAATGGCTGGCTGAACGGAGCCTTCAGTAATGGAGTTGTAATTGTAGCTTGCTCAATGTCGATAACCTTCGGTAATGGAGTTGTAATTGTAGTATTAAGCTTTGCTTCTGCACCTTAGATTGCAATTTCAGGCCGCAAGTAACCGTATATTTTATCTTCTCATTAAGTCCAATAAAGGATTGCCAGAATCTTGAAATCATCGGTGATGTTGTATGTTTCTCTTATAGTATGTTCGGAATTTTTTTTTTTTTCAATGGTGTTGCCAACCATATGGATTTAGTTGGTTTTGTTTAAGTTATGTGATACCCTTAATTGTTTGTGGTTGATCTCTTCAAAATCTCTTGTAGTCATTTAAGAATTTGCAAAGAGAATATGAGTCAGAAAAAAAATTTAAATCGGGATATCATAAATAGTTATCTTAATAGACTTCATAAGTTTTGAATGGTCGTGCGATAAAGGGTTCAAGGTGATTCATTATGACAAAATAAGTCTTCACAAGTATTTATATGATACCGCTACGAAATAAGATAGCGAACCAACTCGACACACTACCTTAAAGACTTATCTTGTCATGTGCCACTTAGGTAGCTTTCGGGTATAATATTGGTTAACACTCTGCATCATTCTATGAAGCTAAAAAATCTCAAAATGATTGTCTAGATGGCTTATTTCTAGGTAGTCTTGCTTCTACGCAACGATTGCATAACCAATATTTACAAGCCTGAAATGACTACAAAAGCCAATCAAATAGGATTACGCAGTTTAATGCAAGCCCTTTACATGTTGTACAAAGTATGAAGAAAATCAAAAGACATAGACATACACGAGCATTACATTGAACATCATATTTATACCTTTGTTTGTGACATTCTCCCCTGTTAATTCCATTAATGTTCTTGTCGAAGCCTTTGCAGATGCTATATCTCTTTGCCTTTGTTTATTTTTCAATCTTTTGCTCCAATTGTAACACACCTCCTAGCTCTTAGCTGCTCTCCACCTCTGTTGTTGAATAGTCGAACTTTGATCTGTCATGCTGCTTTAACTCACCAATAACCCTGACTTTGGTGTGGGGTCGATTAAGTCGTGTTGATCTTTTTTAGTTCTTACAATTCTTTCATATGAAGAAAATGACATTCCATATTATGCGCTAGTCTCTAAAATGTCTCGTGCTGCTTAAATTGGTTGGATGTTTATTAGAGCTTTAACGTGCATCGCCTCATCGACATTGAAGTTTTTGAGGTCTTTCCTTCATAAAATTTGTCCATCCATTCATCTTTTACTTAGTTGTCACCTCCAAGTATATTCGCATTACTCTCGCTTTCGATTAACATTATATTGAAAAATGAAGCGAATAATCTACTCTTGATAGAATCGATCACCATTAGTACCCTCTCGAGTAACCTATGACCGGGATTATTTAAGATATGTGTTTAAAGGTGAATTGATCTCATTATCATGATCGCATCACAATCCGATTCCCATTGCACAAATCCAAGGACATCACAATATATATATGCATATATGTAATAGTTATAAAGTGATATACGCCAAAATATAACAAACAAAAAGATTCTGTATCAAGTCACACGTGTCATCACTCACGTGATTAGCTTGCTGGGCACCTATAACTAGCACCTTGCACCTACCATTCCACAGGTCAACCCTCTATTGAGTCCAATCTCCAGATTGACTCTAAGTATGCCTTGGTTTGGTATTGTCGTAAGTCGCTCCCCCACTTAATCTTGCAATGTGTCCACTAATGTATTACCTCGTGTGAGATCATGTGATAACTCCTCGTTGCTCATTCGGTCCGTTGAAGTATCTCATCTTAACATGTGCGATTCATTACAAATAATTCTTTCTCTTAAAAATCATGACATATCCCTCTTGGATATATGTCTCGTTGAAACAATATTTCTCTTTGCATCATTCTCTTTGTAAGTTTCAGAAACCACCATTCCCTTAGACTAGTTCGCCTTACTAAACAAACTATTCATTATTCTACCCCCATGAACGCACTTGCTAGATTGTGACTCTTTGTCAATACAACCCCCACTATGCCCCTCAAGGCCTAGCAATATGTTAAACTTACTACACACTTTAGCCTCTTACGAATGTATTCTTCCAATGCCAATGAGAAATTTTCAATGCTCCATGGTGTCGAGTTTCGATCGCCTTAGGATAGTCCATCATCCATATATAAGCCGAGTATCAAATTCGTCGAGTTAGCAACTCTCTTAATCTCTATGAGTTTTGCACAACTCTTTCGGTTGCTGAGTAACCCATCCCTCCTTGCATGATTTCATCCTTTCCCAAGTATCTTGTTTGCCTTAAGTACCGTCAAGTTTGATTGTCAATGCCAAATTATGGCTTGAACTCAGCAATTGCAACCTTTGTTCACTATATATTTTTCCCAGCTCGCTTGTCCTCATGGTATCTTTATATTTGTATGCTAATTATTTCTATGTATACTTGTTTTACTGTGATATTATCTATCACGGACTTAACTGGTTTTATCGAAGTCATGCGATACACTTACATGTTCATTCACAAAGGGTCAATCTCCCAAAAGACCTACAAAAAAAGAAAACAAATTGAAGGAAGCATTTAACTCAAAATCTCATAAGCAGTCATTTCAGTAAACACTTAATAATTAATACAAATTACAAATATATACTTCGCAATTTCTAAACGGTTGCACAACAAGAGGTCTATATTAATTCGTCATGACCAAGAATCTTCACAAGTGCCCACATAACACTATTGTAAACTAAGACAACAAACCAGCCTTAAACACTACCCCAAAGGCTCATCCAATTATGTGTCACCTAGGTCGTTAACACTACCCTAAAAACTCATCCAAATATGTCTCACCTAGGTCGTTGACACTTCATACTGCTCTATGAAGCTAAAAAACCTACGTTTATAAGTATGAAACAACTAAAAGAGTCAACCAAAATAAAATGATCAAACTTGTTGTACAAGACATTAGCAAAATCAAAAGTAAACATACACAAATATTATATATTTGTGACAATAAGTAACCAGGATATTATATATTTGCCATTATCTTGTAATCATCCATGATGTAGTATGTTTTACTCTTATAGCAAGCATGCATGCTCACAAACATTTCTCTTTTCACTTATGTTGCTGTAGCATTGGATGAATAATGTAAACCCTTTTTTTTTTTTCCTTAGCTGTCTTGAATGCTGGGGGTGTTTCTTTTGGCAGTACAGCAATGAAGAGCTAATTTTACCTCTCTGTTTATGAAGGTACCAAACCAAATGCTTTTTGTGTTAGTGTGCATGTCACAAGGGAACTTGGCCATACTATTTCAAGTGGCCTTTTACCCTTTTTGTCATTTGTGTTAGAGTTGGCAGAGAACATTGTTTCATCTGTTCAGGGACCAAAGTGGTGTTGCTGCTCATTGACACCTAAATGTGTTCCTTCACATTCTCTCTGTGGAGCATCACAGGGGGCATTCAACAAACACCATCTCTGCAAGCACAAAGCATTACTTGCAATTTATCTCCAGCAAACACACTGGAAATAATTGCAGTGAATGGAAACAACTGCCACATTCTACAACTTAAAAGCAGAGTTAATTGAAGTGAACAAGCATCTCATTTAAAGGACTTCAATTTGCCTAGCTGTTCCCATATCCACACAAAAGCTATAAAGATGAGATTGTTTGCCATTATATGATGAGGTTTATCCTTCAAACCAGACAAGGATAAAAGCCCATCTGATGCTGCACGATATGACTGAGAACAGAGAACAAAATAATCATAGTAGCGATAACAGTTGCTATTAGAGTTGTCGACAAGAAACGAAACAATAAATGTGCTGCAGGAGCTGATCCCAGGTTGCATTTAGCATTCTTTTGTTGTTCTTGATTCCTGCATTATCCATCCATGTGTTGTTAGTAAGTGCATATAATTGGAGAGAACACAAAATGAGGCTAACATAGAGTACAACTTCATGTAACTTCTACTGGATCTAGTTTTAAGGAAATCCAATCTTGGTTCTGGTATATCTCAGGAAAACTTGTTCTAGGCAAGGTCGTGCCTATAAATGGAGAGGACACAATTATTAGGCTATTGTAGAGTACAGAGCTTCATTTAACTCTTATTCGAATCTAGTTTTAAGGAAATCCAACCTCTATTCTGGCATTACTCATAGTTCTAGATGAACTTGTCCACCAATAATAAGCACCAAGTCTAAGTGCTGCAGAATTCTAGAAATTTAGAAAATGAAAGTCTTACCAAGTCTCTTCATTGAACTTTGGATCTTTGCATAGCTTTGAAATGAATGGTTTGATGTTCTTTGAGCATGAAAGAGCAGAAGTTACAGCATAAAGTAACCATTGCATAGTAAAGAATGCAATGCTATGTTATCTCAAAATATTCAATGGTGGCATAGTTTCATACAGAGCTACATTAAGAATAGCATCTCAAGGAGCACCAAATAACAATCATCAGGAGCCAAGATAATAGAAAAAACACCATGCAAGTGAAGAAAGTAGAGCTAAAAATATGTGGAAGCGATGACCAAAGATTGCATCCAAATGTAACTATTTTCTACATAGAAGACAGGATGTTGGTCACTATGTCGATCGATGATAGTAATTTGAAGCTAAAGCCCTTATAGACATGAAGCAGCAAACACTGGAGTTCTAAAGGATCTGATGGAAGATTAAGTACAGAAGTCATGATCTCAATTATTTCAGTATGTTGAAGAGTGTCACAAGGTTTAAGAAAAGATTGGAAACCACACATAAATTCCTATATACAAGGCAAAATCCTAAAAAACAGTGGTCTGTTGTCACAAATTTCAAATCAGAAAGCATAATCTGAGGTTTTGCAAATTTTCTATTACTAACAAAAGCACCACACTTTAGTGCAAAGAATGATGTTAACATGAAACTTCAATTGCTTGTATGCTAAGAAATGTAACGCTCAAACCACAATCCTATCTATGACTCCTTGCTCCCTGGCTTGAGATGTAATAGTACTTGGCTCCCATATCAGTGTCGTGCCGCTAGGCTTGTCTTGCACCATTGTTAATTGATACTTTGGCAGGACAAATTTTGGTCAACAAAATACAGAAAAAAATAGGAGCTGCGATTTGATATTTGAATCGAAAAGAATTGTAACTATCAGTCGTCAGGGTATATTCTGTACATCTTAATGGAAA